TATATATATATATATATATATATATATAAAACTTTAGTTCTTATTATAGCACTCTGGTCCCACCACATGGTTTTGAGAACAAACCTAAAGTTAACCAATTACAAGTCCAATGATACTTAGAAATTTCTCAATAAAATCTGGCCTTTTTTTTCTCCTTAATTTATATGGACATGAGCTTTTTCACATAGCATCAAAAATTTTGATGATCATTTCTTTTAAAACTTGCTCAGTGATACAGCCAAAACTAAAGCACAGAATAGCTCAATGTCCTGCTTAAAGTCTCAGAGTGACTTGGCAGAACAGCTAAAAGCCAAACTCATGTTTGCTAGCCACAGGTTCTTTGATCCTAACAAATTAATTACTGCAGAGGTACTAAAACAAATGAGGTAGTACAAAAATAAAATGATTGCTCTCCTGGACATATCCCATTTTCAGTTTTCCAATTCACCTCTCTGCAAGGTACATCCAAAATAATAGACTTTCCCCATGCATAGTCATTAAATGTACTATTTGGTAACTTAAAGAACCTCACAAAATGTATGTTTCTGTTTTATGTCCTATTGTTATACTGATATCTTAATATTTTTCTCTCCATATACAATTGATATATGTCACCTAATAAAATTGTCCTTAGAACATTAGGAAAAATATGTCACATGAGAATTATTCTTTTTCACTATAATTGTATATACTCTGCAAAAAGAAATATGTAGGAATAGAAGTTTGAAAATGTATGCAATATCCAGTAAGCAATAAAAATCAGAACAGAGAAATTAATTCCCACATTTCATTTATTGCTAAATATCAGTGCTAGGCCACACCGATCATACTTGTCATAAATAACATTTGTTAAGCCCTACACTTAACACCTAGGCCTCATTTTACATACTTTGTAAATATTGCTTCATTTCAACAACCCTATACAGTAACAATCACTATTATCCCCATTTTACAGTCTAAGAAATTTAACCCAGAAAGGGTGAATAGATTTTCCAAAAACACAAAGGATTCAAGCCCAAGAATATCACTCTGAAGTCTTTCTCTTAGTTATGTGGCTAGACTCTCTTTTACTGTCTAGTTTTTAATTCCCTGTTTTATCTCCAGTAGGTCTTCCATGAATAGATCGATTTACCTATTCACTCACTTTTCTTTTAATTGGGCAACCTATGATTTCATGATTGTTCTATTTGTTTAAATAAACAGAGGTTATGCTCTGTCTCTCATCATCTATTTACATCAAGATTACCCTCTGCTGCCCCCTGCAGATAATTTGAAAAAAAATGCCAAGGTTTTCATAAATTATTTAACAAAGCCAGTAAAAGCTGGGCTTTGAGATTTTCATCACATTGCACAATTTACATCTTTTGGATATTAAACACAACTAATGACTACCTAATGAACAGTATTGATGCAATAGCCTGAAAAAGTATTACTAAAAAGGACAAAAATAATGAATACCAGGGTGGTTTCATGCAAATAGTATAAAGGATGGCTGGATAGATAGATGAATGGATGGACAGACGGTCCAGTCGTAGATTCCACGCCTCATTCCAGGAAAATTAGAAAACCATCTTCACCGGTTACCCTTGGAAGTTAGCTCTCAGTTGAAGTTTAGTGTGAAGGATACTTTTAAGGAGAAACTTCAGATCATCATTGTAGAAATAAAGGGACAAAAACTGGTAAGAGAAGGGAAAGAAGTAAAATTGTAATGTAGCTGTACACCATATGCAAACCATATGCAGAGCTCTGGAGCTTAAGCTACCTTTCAGAATTGTCCTGTATTGGTGCCAAAATGGCCAGAATTTTGTAATTCTGCATCTGTCAGTTTTTGGAGATAGGCACAAGAAGGACCTGGATTTTGGTGAGCCAATCCGTGAAGGAGCTGAACTGTGAACAGCACTATCAGCACTAGAACAACAAAGTCTTTCACTGAAGGACTTCTGATTATCTACCATGCAGATAAATACTGGGAAATAATCTGCTCTGATTCTGCCCCAAGTACAGTAGTATTCCATTCAGCCAATTCTGTCCATTCCCAAGAAACCAAATGAAGGCAAATTTTGTTCCAGCTATAACTTGGAAGTAGTTCAGCATGATGATATTTCCTATTTGAGGCAATTACATTATTTTCATTAATGAGTGGCACCTGGGAAGTCCCAAAAAATATAGGAAAAAATGTTTTAAAAAATGAAAACTGCTGGTTGTGGTGAACTCCTGTGATCCCAGCACTTGGAAGGCAGAGGTAGGAGGATCACTGGGAGTTTGAAGCTAACGTAGACTACATAGTGAGTTCAAGGTCAACCTGAATTGCATAGTGAGACATTGTCGAAAGAAAGAAAGAAAGAAAGAAAGAAAGAAAGAAAGAAAGAAAGAAAGAAAGAAAGAAAGAAAGAAAGAAAGAAAGAAGGAGGGAAGGAGGGAAGGAAGGAAGGAAGGAAGGAAGGAAGGAAGGAAGGAAGGAAGGAAGGAAGGAAGGAAAGAAGGAAGAGCACGCAAGTTTAGCTAGATGTCTTGGTTAAAAATTAATCTCATGGTAAACCATTCTAAAGAAAGATAAGTATCTGTTGTCCAAAATTTTGAATAGCAGCATCAAGAAGGGCATAAATTTTTAAAAAGTGAATATTCCACTGATGAGGAGTACCTTAAATGTCTCAGGAAGAATAACAATAACAAATAAATGAGCCAGATGTGGTGGCATATGCCTGTACCCCAGGGTATCAGTTAGTACTCACTTAAAAAAAACAGATTTAATGCATAATATACAAATATATAAGAATTTATAAGATTGACTTACAGTGGCCACCCACAGAATCAGAAGTGAAAAAGTGCAAAAGGGCTGTCTGTGTGTTGGAGATCTGAAAGATCCAGTCAAAAGTCTGGAGCTCCCTGTAGTGTCCCCTGAGAGTGCATATCAGAAGAGTCTATGCTGGAGGCTGAAAAGTCTGTGCTGGAAGCCAGGAGATGATGTTTGAGGTGAGGAATGAAGACTGGAGCTCCTCAGAAACAAGCCTTCCTTCATTTCCTTCTCTTTTTTTTTTTTTTTACCATTCAGGCAACAAACCTACCCAATATGGGTCTTCTGTCTTCAGTGAACGCCCTCAGCCACACCCAAAACTACGTTGACCCAATTTGGTTGGGCATTTCTCACTCAAATTGACACAGTTAACTATCACACCCAGCTATTTTGGAAACTGAGACAGAAGGGTTTCAAGTTCAAATCCAGCCTTGGCGCCTTATCAAAACTTTGTCTTGAAATTAAAAACAAAACAAAAAAAACAATAAAAGGGAAGGGAATGTAGCTCAGTGGTAGAGCACTTGTCTAGCATGAGCCAGACCTTGGGTTCAATCTACAGTACCACAAAAATGAATGAATGCATGATGTTCTA